AACATAAAACAGTTTGAAATTTCAGTAGAAGAAGATGCGATCACTGTAACAAAAGTTTTATTTGCCTGACGTTTCGGATTCCCTCGTTCCAGTGATCGCATCTTCTTCCTCTGGACTGCTTCCTGGGGCTCGAATATTCTCTACTATTGGCAGTTTGAAATTTCACAGAATGAATGGCATAACAGCAAGGACCGTTGTTTAGTTTAAATAATAATCGATAAAGGACACTGCAATGTCAATAAATCTTGCTCTATACGCTTGTTTTAAATTTTTCAGCATGGCTGATTACATTCAGGCTCCGCTCTACAATTGCGAGTGCAAAAAAGAGTGACCGAATTTCTACTAAGATAGTGCATAAATTATTCATGTTCTGTCTTTTTTTTATAATTTACGCTTAAGTGGAAATTATGGTATGCAAAAAGTAAATTACTACAGGTTTTTTTATATAATAAGATCTGGTATTTCCTTCATCTTCGCGATACTATTTATGCAGTTTTGATTACGTCCCAAATACTTGATGCGGTAAAACAAAATGCGACCAAAACGTTTTTGTTGCTATATTATTTCGCAAAAAACTTCACGTATTCCTTACACTTGTCTTCGCTGGCATTTGAGCAACTTCGGACTAAATTTTGCGGCTCTTGGGGGGATATTTTTTAAACTTTTCTTACTCATTTTGGGGTTCTCCCATAACAGAATGCGATTAAGAAAAGATTTGGTACTGTCATACTTAGAAGCATAGGAATCTCTCCGATATCAGGCTACTCCCTATTTAGTAAAATGAATGCCTATTGCACTCAAATATACTGAACTAAATAGGCAGTTTTCCTTACTAAAAGCCTTCGCGAAATTAGATCCACTCATTGGAGCAAAATAACGTGACCAAATATATGCTAAACTGGCGAGTCACATTTCGTCATGACTGTTGCAGGAATTCCTAGACGAGATACTGTAGTTTAGTTTTAGTTTTGCTCAGTTTAGTCTAGTTTTTAGTTTAATATCTAGTTTAATTAGATTTAGATTGGATGTAGGTCCGCTAGTTGTGTTATTTATAGGAATCCTTCCCCTTCCCTAAATTCTCTATTAAAGTGCCAACGGTGTTTCGGCTAACGACTTCATCCATTGCCTCGCCTGTAACTGTGCAAACATACCAATTGTAGTTACCAAGGTATTTGCTTTTTGGGTAGATTAGGAGTCCCTTCGGATAATTTCGCCCTATTAAGTAGGTGGAACAAAAATTCAGACCACTGCTCATCGTTGTAGGAACGCAAGACCATCGGGTGCAGGTACATCGCTGGCGGAGTATACGGGCTTTTCTGGCACTCAGATGGGACCTACCCCGTTGGCACTGGAGCGTTCCTTCCATCTGCCCTATGTGGACTTTCATCCAGAGGCATTCTTCTCAGTCCAGCTGGAAAAGGTAAGTTCACTTAAAAAAACCAACCCCTACAAATCAAGCAAGTACTAACTTATGCTTGGCAATAATTTTAAAAGGAAGTGTGAAGAACGACATTTTTTGCTTATTCCTCATCAGCTTTAACATTTGCGTATTGCTTAGTATTTCAGAAGATAAATTGGCGGGCATACGTTTATTTTCGATGAATTATCGTCAGGCCTTTACATTTATATGGTAATGAAATGAATAAACTATGCTGGTTGGTGGACAGGGTCGGTGGGGGTGGGGAAAATTACGGTCACAATGTCAGTGTCTAGACGGACCGGCGTCCAAGACAGGTGATAAGGTGTGCACAGTTGAATTGGGGACTCGTCTGTCTCTGGGAGGGGGCCATTTCCGAGGCTAGCAGCATAAACTGAAATACAGCATGTAGTATAATAATAATAATTTACGAGCATCGGTCCAGTTGCCGCTCAAAAACCTCTAAGAATACAGACATAACGACACCCAGAGGCAGCGCATGCCAAACTTTGAGCACTCTGTTGGAGACAAATTCGCCAGCGTAAAACTATTGTAGAAAGAACACAATGGTATAATGACAAAAAAGTCAGTATCGTTCTTCCGTTTAAAGGAGATTTTTTGCATTGAGAATTTATTGAGCAGCGAAAGAACGAAGATAAGCAGAAGCCCATGAGTGTTAAAACGATGTGTAAGACCGTGGGGTTGTGAAGTAAAAAAATGTAACGTCGGCTTTTATCACAGGCCTGAAATGTAGCCTCGAAAGTATTACACACAGAAGTTAAATATGGGCCCACCTACTTAATTAGTTTTAAATATTTTTGTGCACGTGAATGCAAAATATCGTCCCAGTGCATAATGCGGACCTTGAACGCCTCGTCACGTTTCACTACTACCTGATGTCAGTTTCTGTTTTAGTTTATTTGGCAAAAGTAAAAGGCAAACCCTAATGAGTACATACCGGTGCGTCATCTACATTTTTGCACGCACTCTACAAATTATCACTTTTAAAATAGTATTTTCAAACTGTGAGTAGCATTATTTTTACAAATACCTCTTGACTGGCATTCCTATTTCAGACGCCCTGCAGAGACCGTGTCATGAATGCCTTCGCGAAAGGGACACAGACTAAATCAAAGAACAAGAAGAACAGCGTAAACGAAAGCGAGAAGTTAAAGAGGTGAGCATCGCTAACCTATCGTATGGGACAAGGCCTTTAGGCGTTTGAGTTCATACATGGTGTATGCAATCAAAAAACATCCAGCAAATTGTCTGCCGATAGTTTCCAGTGTTAAAAACATTATTTAATGTCGTCGGTTCACAAGTAGAACGCAGGCAAAACAAGTAAAAAAAACTGCTATTATCGCTTTCGGATATAAACATTCAATTTTTTGAGTGATTGCACAATCGTATATTCATTAGCAAGTAAAGCTCTTTGGGATGAATAAGGGTTATTATGGAAATTTTCGAGTCTGGTCCCACGGCTCATCTTCAGAGAAATGAGAGAGGTACGAAAACAGTTAACTTAAAACGATGTTTAACACAAGATTATATGTTTGCCCAGTTTTTTAGCCAATGAGCGCCACCTGTTAATTATCCGGTCGACAGTGGATGATTATGCTTCCATCTGACCTTGAGAGATTTGTAATTGGCACTTAAGTCAATATACCTGTAAATGCATGCCTATTCTGAGTGCATTGCCTCTAGAAATTCGCGGGTCTTTCTAGTTGGGCAAGCGCTAACGACTTCGGTTCTCCCCATACAAATTGGTGTTCAGTTTGTGCATAGCAACCTGGGATAGGTAGTCTCGCCTCCTCTTGATGTTCATGTATACGGTAGATAGAGATTTCCCGCTTTGGCCACAATATGTTTTACAAATGCTGTGTTCTTGGTAGATGACATTAGGAGGTTCGTAGCATTCTGATTTTAGAATCAGGTTTTACCGTGATATTTTTCAAAACCCTGTCAGTGTTAACCGTCTATTTAAAATTTTCCGGCTAACCTATCCACAAATTCACCTGGGGGTAACCTATCCTATATATGCATTTAGTCTTTGAATACGCCTTTTTTATTGAGATAAAGCCGGCAGAAAGATATTTTATGACAACACTTCATCGTTTTATGTTTGCAAAAACGCGCAACTCATCATTTGATTCACTTTTACGCCTTCCAGAGACCTCATATCACAGTTCTGCAACGACTTCAGTCGACGGGCCCAGCAGACGTCTTTGCGAGCCCAGATCATTGCAGTGTATACCTCCTTATTGACAGTCCTGAAGAAGATTCCGAACATTGCGTGAGTTTTCCGCCACTTAAGCGTTTTGGCCCTTGCATAAGGGATATAAGGCTTCTTTCATAAGGTTGTCCACTTTCTACGTAACACCTTGCGACCTTTAACTCTAAAAAATCTGAATTTTAATCAAATGTTAGAAGGAAGCATTAGTTTGCTTTCTTCGTGAATTATTTTGCAAAAGTAAGATTTCAGCGTTTACTTTCCGTCGTACGCAAAATTCCCAATCATTTGGCGTACTCTGTCCAGTTTTCATTGCCCGCTTATCGATTAAATCATCTCATGCTGGCGGATGTCATATATGTCTAAACGTGGAGCAGCTTTCCATTGATGGAATATTTTCATCCGGAAACGTTGGTTAGGGATCGTTATGTCCTCGTTTCCTCAAACGTGACGAATGCGTTTAGTTTTCAGTTTTTTTTAAGTGAAACTAGTGCTGTGCTTGAAATCAAAAATGCTTTCCGTTAGACGAGTGAAAGTAGATTTGGTTTTCCCATTGAACTCCAAAGCCCACCAGGAAATTCAGTTGGTTAAAAAAAATTCACTTTTAATTTGAAATCGCTAAGTATATTTTGCTTTTAGTGACGAATTCTTCATTATTGGGACAATGTACGAGAAGAAGGGCATAGACGACGACGCCGATGTGGCCGCTAATGATCCACGTAAACTGCGAAAACGCCCGCGCAGAGTGCTATCGCTGGACGGAACAAAGTTCTACAACCTCTGGTTCATTCCGCATTTCCTTGAAGTGCTCTTCATCTTCCGACATTTGGATGATGAATCCTGCATCAAGGCCCTGCGCAATATGTGTCGCATTGCCAGTGCCCTGCATGACATTGTTCACTACCTCGTCTCCTTCGCTCGTCTCGGTATCGATTCGGCCAAAATTTCAACTGAACAACGAGCCCAGATCTATGCCAAAGCCAGAAAGGCAAGTCCTCCTTCTTAATGCTATACCATCTTGCTAATACAAGCGAGCATGTGAGTCCCAGTAAGTAGTTGAGAAGTAGAAGTCGACTCGATCACTGGGACAATATGTTTATTCGCCTGACGTTTCGAAATCCGTCGCAGATTCATCTTCAGAACCATACTTAAAGAACAGTAGCAGAAACAGTTTGTGTGTGTCCTCTTCTACTTCTCAATTATACCATATATATTTAATCACGTTTAAAAGCTCAGTGAAATTTAGTTCATCTCATTCTGGCTTTGCGAATCTCGCGGCAACATGCTCTCGTTAGTACGTCCGTCCATAAGATCAAACTGAAACGTTTGAGAGACATGGGAGATGCGAATGATGTAATCAATGGGAATTAAAATCATTTGTCATTTTCCCGTGGGAGGTTGGCGTTCTGAAAAGCATTACCAGTTGGAATACAAATAAAACTCAATGAAAAATCACAATAAAGTATGCCAACTTGAAGTGTTAACAGTATTTATACGAATAGGTTTTCTGCCTTAGTAGATGGTGCAGCGATTGTTCCTCCCCCCCCCCACAAATCAATACGCTTTAACTTGGCCGGCTTGCCTACAGTTCCTTACAGTACCCTTTACGGCAGATTTTCATGGTCCGTGTCTTATCTCACAGTTCTCACTGACAATTGAGTGAGGGTCCCATATCTCGTGGTCTTTCACAGCCTCGCCTTTGGCAGTCCGCTTAACCATTCTTAGTACTGGGGTTCGAAAACTTTCGGTGTCGAAAGTACTTTACTGATACATATTTCACAGGATCTGATCTGGTTCGCTCAGGACGAAGGTAGGGTTTTCAGCTTTCAAAGTAGCACGCCAGAACTTGATCACACAACCTTTTATTAATTGGAGCAAGTATAAGTGTAAAGAGTATCCTTTGGATGACTGGTGGCGGGGAAGCCTGACTGATCAAGAAGAAAGAAATGAATACGGGCAGGCTCTTGAAAACTGTGAACAAACAAAGAAGGTAATTTGCAGGGACTGAGGACCGATCTGTTTGGGACGAAGAGGTAAACTAACTTGCCAATGCAAGCCAAAATGCCGTTTATTGTCACATGTATGCAGCAGCATACTGACTGTATGCTATAAATACTGCAACTTCCTGTGTATGAAATAGCCGTTTCTGCTATTGCCTCTGATGACGGTCTCCCGCCAAAGTTGCTCAATCTGATCAAAGCCTACTATAGCACAACATCAGCCCGAGTAAG